TTTCCAGGGCTCCCTGGGCTGGCTGCCTCAGCCACACAGGCCTCAACAACACCCTCAATGTACTTCGCAAGTATTCTTGATGTCTGTGTGCGCCACGTGTGAAATGGTTGGACACACAACCCTCTGTGAGGCGCAGATGCTAGCGCAGGAGAAATAGCCATGAGGCGAAATGATCTTTTCCACAATCTCACATAGTGCAACAATGACATCACACACATAACCTTATTTTATTCTTAGAAAAATCACAAGTGTGGGTGTGTTGCTGTAATGTCATCCTAGAGCACAAATATTAACACTACTGTAAGCCAGCTTATCTCGACAATAATTAAAAAGAGAAAAATTGTAAGTGGTCCACATGACACTTGGATCAATTACCGAGGTTCAGAAATGAGCAATGATATACCCAGGAGTTCACAGAGCTCGAAAGAGCAGAGTCAGGACTTTGGAATTAGGGATATCTACAGCTAAGCCTTATGCTGTTTCCGATCTGCTTCCCCGTATGAGAACACTACACATTTGCACACAGAGCTTTAAAATTGGTGATTTTGTTCCACTCCCTGAAGAAACTTTTCTTGCAATCGCCATGCAGTCACTGGCATTTATGAAAACAGATGTCCTCTTTGAGCTTAGCAAGACAGAAAAAGCACAGGACTAATGGACATGCTAACCCTTCTAGTTTTCTATTCTCTACCTCTGACACCCAGAGAGCCAACCCCTCCTTGTTATTTTGTGTGAGTAAAAATGTCCCTGTCCACCAGTGCCCAAATGTGTCTAATGGGAAATGGCGGCATGCTGCTATGGGCCACACTTAAGCTGTATCTTCTATAATCAATCACAGAAAGAGGAGGAGGAAATTTTAAAAAATCAAGTCGTTGGTCACATGCAAGGCAAATGCCTACCTACTTTACTATCTCTCCAGCCTGAAAATTGTACATTTAAAATACAGCTCAAGGACTGTCAAGGGATAGTATTTAATGGAAAAAAAAAAGAGTTTAGGTTTTCTATTTTTATTTTAGAAAACTAAGTAATAGATTCTAATGACTAGATATGATATCTTAATTTATTTAAAACAATGCAGAAACAAATAGGGGTATGCTTCCCAAAAGGAGAGAGAGAACAAAAGGGAATGCCCTGCCACAGCGGCAGGGTAGGATGGGGGGGTAGGGGGGAGGGATACTGGGATTAGTGGTGGTGAAGAATGGGCACTGGTGGAGGGATGGGTACTCAATCATTGTATAATTGAAACCCAAGCACAAAAATCTGTAAGTCTACAACTGTACCTCATGGTGTTTCACTAATAAAAATTTTTTTAAAAAAGAGGGGTGTGCTTGAAATAAGAAGTCCAAGTGGCTACATCCATAAGCAGCTATTACATACACAGCTATCACGTGCATGGAAAATATTACAGTGCACAAAATATTAAAATACTAGCTAAATATTACACCTATAATCAGAAAATAAAAATGTGACGGCATGGCTGAGCATGCACAGCACAGAACAGCAGGTGGGCTGGAGGGAGGCACTCAGCAGGCTGAGAACTCCCTGCCAAGGGTCCAGTTCCATCCCTCTCACCACACGGTCCCCCAAGTACCAACCCTGAGCACAGAGGTAGGAGCAAGCCCCTGAGCACCACCAGATGTGCCCCCCCCCAAATAAAACAAAACAGCATGATAAGTATATGGGATAAATCCTTATAAGAATGAGGTTGTGACAAGGTCACCATCTCATACCCTGGTTCTCTCACTTGACATTTGGGTGAGAATCACATGCTTAAATTTTCCAGACAGGAAGAAAAAAGTACTGCTTTTTTATGTCAGCAGTGCAGCATTACCCCAACAAAAGTAGAACTCTACTGATTAACTGTTTTCAAGAACACTCAATCACAGTGTGCCCCAGCCATAAAATAAAGTCTGCCACCCAGTCACAGATACAATGATCTTATCAACTGGAATGACATCAGTGCCACAGCGTGGAAAAGTCCAGTGTCAAATACAGGATAACCCCATTACCTGGAAGACTAAGCAGACAGGGAAGGCAAATAAGTTCTTCTGATCTATTCTGGGACAGTCCATCATCCTGTCTAACACAATGGGTCCCACTGCAACAACACTATCCTGCACTATCCTTTAACTTGGGGGGTGGGGGCAGAGGTACTCCCAGGCAGTGCTCAGGAGTCCCACCGGCAATTCTCACCCAAGTAGGCCTGGAGTTCACTGCTAAGACCTAAGAAGAGGGTGATGTTCATCTTTGTGGTGTCAGGGATTCCCCCAGGACACTCCAGTTGTGCTAGGACCTCCAGAGTTGCACCATGTGATGCTGAAGGGACCATGTGGTACGGAGAATTCAACCTAGGTGAGGCTCAAGCGAGGCATGAACTCTGATCACTCTCCCAGCCCCAGTCCTATCCAGGGTTGGAGAGTCAACATTCTCCTCAGAGCAGCTAACTAGAAACAGAAACCTAATTCTTGGGACACTTGACTTTTCAACATACTACTTAATGAGGGCTGTGTCTACACTGCCCAAGCAAAAGTCTGCCTTCGAAAGGGCCTCTGTCATATGTCCACAGAGGTTGATTATTCGCATGCTAGTAAGTTCTCTTAAATAAAATTTAAGTTAGCACATCATTCTCAAACTGCTGAAACTCTCCCTGCAAAGTTAATATAGGTAGAAATGTATATTTAGTGTTACAAAATCAGATACTGCTAAAATGTAAGCATATATTGCAATGTTCACAACTTACCCTTCAACTGCTGAACTTATAAATTTTCCTAATATCAACATGAATGTAGAGAATGTGAAATCACATGTAAAGGCAGAGAGAAGCAATTTCCTGGACAATCATAAACAGAGAAACTAATAAAGAATAAAATGCAGAGTCAATGAACACCTCAAGCAAATAGTAAATGAACTCCCTTACAGCATGACTTCAGTTTCCCAAATAATACAGGCACACACTGATGTTAGAGCAAAGTGAAGCAAATTATCTCAGCTAACACACACCATCTTTGTGGCCTCTTTCTGGAATTAAGCATGTTCCAAACAATCTCCTGTTCAATTTACCTGGCATGCAAGTTACTTTCAATCAAATAGCTGTTCTCAGCACTGTACAAACTCTCTTAAACCTTTCTAAGTCAATATTCATCTGTGACCACACAAACATATGGCGTTATACCTAATGAAATGGGAATAAATTCCAATGGCTCTCCTTCAATCGAGTTTAAATTAGCAAACAGGCTGTACGCCAAGCAAGGAAGCATTTCATTTCTGAAGAAACTTCATCCTTTTCCCATCTCATCGGCGCCTCCCTTCCCATAACTAGACATACAAAAGGTTAGTAGAGGACGTAAAGAAAAGCTCATTGACACAGGTCCCAGAGGTGATAGTCACACTTGTGTTTTGAGCAACCAGGATTACCCATACCTGATCTTTTGGGAAGGCACCAGGGGTGAAAGGAAATGCTAGTAGATAATAAGATAATAATCTGCCTCCTCTGAACCTCCTGAATGGAGAGGTCTACACACCTACACACATGTATATATACACACTGGTACACTCAGGTATATACATATACACTCAAGAATCAAGTAAGAAGGGAAACCTACTGTATTTTTCAAGTATTTTAGTTTCAGGTGTGAGCATTAATAACTTCTCAAGCTCTTCTTCTTGAGAGGAGCTTGAGAAGTTATTAATGCTCAATCCAGGCCCAATCCATAATTATAGACATAAGCTTTACACAAGATATTAATAACAGAGATTCACAAATAAATTTCTCAGAAGAAAGCAATATGGAAGCAACACGACGCAGAGATGCCTCCAGATCCCAAAGTAACCATCCAGTTTAAAAAAAAATTAATCTTAGCTGTATCACCCTATTTAAAATTTTAGAATTCCTGGAGCACACGGCCGCAAGTCTCATACTCTATGCCAGTGATATACCAAGAGTAGCACACTACATTAAAAAAAGTATAAGTATATATATATGTATACATATATATTTACATTAGCTCACAAGGTTCAACCTTTAACAACGTGTTAGTAATCTTCTATACAAGTGCTTAGTAGTTCCAGAGTAAAATACAACAATTTTCACACACTTTCTTCTAAGGAAACCTTTTTTGATAATTTTTAGTGAATTATTCATAACAAGCAATACAAAACAAATTATTTAGGTCCTGCTTTGAGGGAAAGCTTTGGGGATTGGGGTGGAAAAATTAGAAATATGGTGGTGGGGAGGTATAAAGGTGGTTGGATTGGTGTTCGAGTATTGAATGTAATAAATTATTGTGAACAACTTTTAAAAAATGAAATTAAACTTTAAAAAGATATTAGTAACAATATTGAATTTGATGCAAAATAACACAAGCAAACGTTTCTATGAGTTATGTCACAATTCTTACTAGCATTGAAAATGGTTAGGTTTCCACAATTTGTTATGATGGAGGAATATTATTTTGGGTACTACCAATGAATTCATTTGAAATTACACATGAAAAGTCAACATATGATACTACTCTCAAAAATGACAGTTCCAACCCAATCACATTGTGTAATACATTTGGTAAACACTCTCTGAGGTTTGAAATAATCATCTCAAAGCAAACATATCAACAGAAGCTCTCACCAGGGCTGGAGCGATAGCACAGCGGGTAGGGCGTTTGCCTTGCATGCAGCCAACATGGCCGACCCGAGTTCGATTCCTTTACTACATTTTATTTCTCATTAAAGATATTGTGCCCTATGTGGATTTTGTTACTTTCACAAGCTTTTGGCTCTAAGAAATATTAATTCTAATCAGCAATTCAAAGGCCATTTTACTATTACACATTTTTAAAAGGATAGGCAATAAAAATCTCTAATCCCAACAACCAGCTAGCATTCATCAGGCCTCATGAAACGCCGAACAATTCCAGTGAAGTAATCTCTTCCTGAAACACGCTTATTTTTAAACCTGATTTTGATATTGATGATGCTTATACCTTATATCTTTATTAAACACTTACCTGTGATTTTTTGCAGTAAAGGTGACAATTCAGACTCCTCACAAAGGACTTGAGCCAAAGCTTTCTTCACTTTTTCTTCTGCTTCATCCAGTTCATTATCCACTTCAAACTCTCCAGTGACAGAATAAATATATATCAGAAGGATCAAGAGCTCTTCAGGGCTGTAGTCATCACTGGTCCTCTGGCTCAAAGGTTTAATCAAGGGCAACAGCTGATTCAACACAACTCCCATTGTTGACTCCCCAATGCTCTAAAAGGAAAGGAGGTGGATGAAGATACGTCAATTTGGGCAAAGACATAATTGAGACACCACAACCCTCCCCAAAGAGCTGGAAAACAAGTCTGTGATGTTCAGTGACTAAACTGGGTTTTCTTTCTTGTCCTGGGGAGAATACTGAAAGAAATTTGAAATTAGTTTTTATTTCAAAAACCAAAATAGAATACAGATAAAATAGCTAGTCAGATTGTAAACTATTTATATTATCTTACACATTGCTCAAATGAGTATGTGAGTCTTAAAAATAAAATTGTAAGTCCTTCCAACTGTCAAACTTGATATTAAATTATTTGTAAAGTCACGGTCACGGTCCTCCCGTTGTTCATCAATTTGCTGGAGCGGGCCCAGTAATGTCTCAATCATGAGACTTGTTGTTACTGTGTTTGGCATATCGAATACGTCATGGGGAGCTTGCCAGGCTCTGCCGTGCGGGCGAGATACTCTCGGTAGCTTGCCGGGCTCTCCAAGAGGGGCGGAGGAATCGAACTCCGGTCGGCCATGTTGGCTGCTTGTAAGGCAAGCGCCCTACCGCTGAGCTATTTGTAAAGTATGTGATTAAAATAAGAATATGGCAGTATCTAGATGCAAACAAATATTGACATTTCCTGAAAGAAATTACCTAGGATTTTGCAGCATATTCTTTCCAACATCCCATATTTTATAAAGCATTAGTCAGGATAAAGTATTTTACAAAAATGAGATACACTACATTTTTCTCTGAATGAAGTGAATAAGATAGGTGTTAAAATGTCACGGGTTTAAGATATCTTTGGGTGAGCTTAAAGGAAATTTACCTTATAATTTAAAAAATGGTTTGCTCTTCTACCAGTACACTGAAAATGTTTAGCAGAGAGTTTTAAAAGTCCTTGCAGAATCCTAATAGTGAAATTTAGGTAGTTTTTGTTTTGTTTTGTTTGCTTTGGTGGGGAGTCATAGCCAGCAGGATTTAGGTGCTATTTCTGAATCTGTGCTAAGGAATCATTTCTGATAATGCTTGGTGAATGGGGTGTGGATATGTAATGCTGGGGATTGAAGAAGGATAGACTGCATGCAAGACAAATGTCTTGACCCCTATATTATCTAACCGGCTCTGTGAAATTTTTTTCTTGATATCACTAGGGTCTCTATGATGCAATGTTTATTTAAGTTCATGTCCCAGTGTGTTCTTCTCAATAAAATGTTTCTTTGGTAATGGTATAAAAAAAGTCCTTTCATGAGATAATAGTATTGCATTACCTGAATTAGGGCTGGAGTGATAGCACAGCAGGTAGGGGGTTTGCCTGGCACGCGACCGACTCGGGTTCGATTCCTCTGTCCCTCTCGGAGAGCCCAGCAACCTACCAAGAGTATCCTGCCCACATGGCAGAGCCTGGCAAGCTCCCCGTGGCATATTCGATATGCCAAAAATAGTAACAAGTCTCACAATGGAGACATTACTCGTGCCCGCTCGAGAAAATCGATGAACAACGGGAGGACAGTGGGACAGTGCTACAGTGCTACCTGAATTAAGTGCATAATTTATTAGGAAGTGGGAGTAGTACACATTTCTAGTATAAATTCTCAGCTTTTTGATGAATAAACTGTGCCATTTTTAATAATGGGATTAAAGTTCATCTAAAAATTAAATAATTCTATAAAGTAAAACTAAACTATTTGAATTTATATTAAATTCTGATAAAGTGGCCACAACCTAAAACTTTTACATTATTCATTCAACAGTACTCATTGGGCATCTAGTATGTGGTAAAGGCTGTTCTAGATCTGAGGCTACAGCATGAAACAAATTATATCTTCTTCTCTCATAGAGTTTACATTTGGGCCAGGTGGGGAACAGTAAAAAAAAAGTTAAATAAATAAAAACGTGCTGAATATTAACCCTAAGTGTTTAGGGTTCATCAATGAATTGCCCCTTTTCTTTCCCTAGAGAAATTTATAGTGCTCTTGTAAGCATCCCTAATCCCCCAAGTTTATCTTTAACCTTTCCTTTGTGTTTATTACTAGATTCTCCAAGTCAGTCTTCATCATTTATAAGTGAAACCTTTTGGTAACTCTGGACTTTGTATCTGTAGTGAATTAGGTTGCTTTCCTATTTCCCTTAAAACCTTTTCATATTTTATTATAGAGTAATGTTCTTCGCTTAAACACAGAAAAACCATAAACACTGTGCTTCTAATATTTAGGAGTTGATTGACTCTGAAATAGATCTACTCCTGGACATGTCATAATTACTTGACTCAGGCATTAGTTGCCATAGTTCTTAACACCCCAAAAGGGGGGCCCTGCCTTGGATGGACCTGAGGCGAGCAGCAAAGCTACCCCAGCATCGAAGTGGGACAGTCTAGAAAGCATAAAAGCAGTCTTGATGCAAGCTATATGACTTAAGAGAGAGGACCCCACGGGTAAGGACAAGCTGAACTGGTCTGAGGACTTAATCTGAGATTTACGGTAAAAGACTTGCTCACACTCAGAGCCCAGAGAACCAAGTTTTGGAATCTCTATCTCTTTACTGTTTTTATCCAAATAACTACAAGTATTAATTAGAAGTAAACTTAATTGGTTAATATTTACTAGTAGCCAGGGAAAGAGAAAAGCAATATGGATGCCTGTGGGTGACAGAATGTCTCCTTGACTAAATGCCCCCAAGAGAAACGTCTCATTAGAAACACTTTACCTCTGAAAGTGTTCAATCAAACCTATACCTCAGACGCCCTCAGTTGTTTCATAAGTATGCTAACAGGTCTGAATTAAACAGGCCATTTTTACCATCTATCCATGAGTCCCAGTCTCTTTGCTCTTCTGCTGGGGAGGCCTGGGGAGGTGGCTTTCGGCCCCTGAACACACCACATACTTGAACTCACAAACATGTTATATATTAGATCAGTGTTTCTTAACCAGAGGCACTATGGGATCCCAGGATATTCTAGGAGTCTACAGGTAAAATAATCACATAAATGGGTGTGTGCGTGGTTGGGGGGGGGCGGGGAGCAGTAATGGCATAACACTAGGATGCTGTAGGACAAACGGGCCAGTGGGAGGCAACAAGGTCAGTAGGGGCCGCAGTGGGAAAGGCTGTGAAGCACTGTGTGGTAAGCACTGTGGGGACACACTAACAGTATCTAGATGCCTTAAATATGGGGTGTGGAGTTACATGTGTGGGCATGTACTATTTCATAGAGGGAAAGCCATGCTAATACAGGAATACTGGACTATAACAAAACATACAGAAACTCTGAATAATGCAGACAGTAAGCAATACAATCCTGTACGAAGATAAATATCCAAACAAGTAATTTTGGTCAAGCCATCTCCACAGCTGGACAATTCTGTATTTATTCTCTCAAGGTCAAGTTTCACAATTACATTATTTAGCGTGTGCACACGTGCACGCACACACACACACACACACACACACACACACAAACCCCACCTCTTACCATTTATTAACCCAAAGAATCCTAAATGTTTAAAATGTATCACCCAAAATAAAATAGGAAGTCTTTGAAATAAGGTGAAAACTGCAATAAAGCAGAATGGAGAGTTTACTGTCACCTGATGACAAGTAATAATTTAACAAGTACAAATACACACACCGCTCAAAAGAGATGGCTGAAAGGTTTGAGGGCACTGTAAGACAGTCCTACAACCCTGCGAGTCTCTTGAGAGGAAGTTCTGAGGATTCCTTCTTTGCCTTTGAAGTTGCTAAAAACAATTCAAAAGAAAGCTGGCTGATTATGAGGCTGTGGAGGCTGCAAGTTTTTTTTATTTTTTTTTTATTGAATCATCATGAGATAGTTACAAGCTTTCATGTTTGAGTAACAACCACACAATGATCAACATCCAACCCTCCTCCAGTGCACATTCTCCACCACCAATATCCCCGGAATAATCCCTCCCCCTTTCCCACCCTCCCACTGCCTCCATGGCAGACATGATTCCCCAATCTCTTTCTCTATTTTAGGGCATTATGGTTTGTATTCTGCAAGTTTTATTTTTACCTTTTACACTATCTATTCCCATCTCCATGAATGAAAGTAAGCAGAGAGTCTTACTGCACATTCCATTCCATTTCTAAAAAGCATGTGTATGTATCAAGTATTCACTCTATAGGAGCCCTATGAGTCTCTCTCCACACGAAGAGATTGTTTTCTATGATAGTTCTAAACAGAAAAACAGATTATCTAAAGGATAATCATAATCATTTGAAAAGATTCATTCACTAACATCTAGTCATGGAAACATTATTTTCAAGAAACATCCTAAAATAGGTTTCTAAAGAGAAGGAAAAAAACCTTTGCTAATGAACTTCAGCCGAATTCTAGTTGGCTAGGTAACACTTGTGCACCCCAATTTCTAATTACATTTTAGTTTGTCTAATGTATTCCAAGAAGTTAATCATTAAGTTGAGCACAAAGCTAAGGATATTGACCTATCTTTAAGAGGCAGAAGATATTGTAGAAATAAAGAGACTGCAATCCAAATAGTACAAATCTAATCCCGATTCTATGACTTGTAGGGATTTCTTCATCTCTAAAATGACATGATCTGACTCAGGGGAGCTAAGTTTTTATGCCAACATCTTCATTTTCACTTTTTACTCTTCCACTTTTTTTCTTTGGGTTTTGGGGTCACACCTGGAGATGCTTAGGGGTTACTCTTGGCTCTGAACTGAGGAATTGTTCCTGGTGGGGGGACCATATGGGATGCCAGGAATTGACACTGTGTCAGCCACGTGCAAGGCAAGCTTCTTACCTGCTGTATTATTGCTCCAGTCCTCCACTTTACTTATTAAAAATCTTTATCTTTTTAAAATCGAGTTACAGTGAGATACACAAAGTTGTTCATGATTGGGTTTCAGTCAAATGTTCCAACACCTGTCCCTTCTCCAGTGTGTATTTTCCACCACCAATGCTCCCAGTTTCCCTCCCATCCACCCTCCTCCCACCCACACACACTCTATCCTCCGGCCTGCCTCT